TTACTGCTCAACAAACGCAAATAACGGATTTGATTCAAGTAATGAAGCAGGATGCTGAGAAAGTAAAGGAAATGGCTGAGACAACGCAGATAGTGAGGAAAAAAGTGCAAAAATTGGAAAAGAAAACTGTATCTTTGGAAGATCAGATGCTGCAAGTGCAAATGGATAAGGCCAATATGGTCCTGCGCTTCCAGGGGGTGCCAAAGAAGAGAGACTCTTAAAGAACTTATGAGTGAGCTACTTGCCCCAGTAGCAGATATAAAGGCGGACTTGCTACTCAACGACATGGATGTGGCCTACAGGTCATATTCAGGATACATAAAGAAAAATAATCTGCCTGGGGAAATTGTAGTAAGATTCTCGAAGAGGCACGTCAGGGATGCTATCCTGAAAGCAGTTGCTGCGACACCCCTGAAGGTGGGGGAGAATGCTGTCAGAGCGCTAAAGGATATTCCATTTGAAGTAAGACAATGCAGAAAGAAATACAAAGAACTTGTGTTTTTCCTCCAAACAAACTCAATTGGATATAAATGGCTGTTTCCAGAAGGAGTAATATTCAAGATCAAGGAGAAGAAGGTCAAGATTGACTCTGTTCTTAAAGCTCAAGAGTTTCTAAAGGAGCAGCTGGGAAGGCCAGAGGACGAGAAAAAAGAAGAGGACGATAAGTCCAGTGGAGAGCTGGAAACTGGTTTGTCTGGTGAGGACTCTTTGTTTGAGCAGGGGGCATCAGCCCCGAAAAGTTCCTACAAACTGCGGGAGAGAGAGAAGAAGAAGTAACGGCTGAAGGACTCTGAATTGTGCCTTTGAGAACTTTGGTTCTAGGGGATGATGGGGGGCATTGTTATTGGGCAATTAAATGTAACTGGGGATGGTTAAAAGGGTTAAAAGATTGACAGTTCATAAGAAGTACAAAGATGAAAGGTCTGAATGAAGTATAAAAAGCTAGTTGGAGATCTCCTCTTGGGTTTTTAGTTAGTAGTGGGTTCTTTACTTTCTCCCTTATATGTAGCTTTCCCTTTCTTTTTTCTGTTCTAGTTTTTTAGTGTTTAAAAAAATCAATAAAAAATCCCCTCCGGGGGCTTAAAATAACTGCATTTCTACAGCAGGCTTGCAGTGCATGTTGCTTCTCAGCCTAAGCCCACCCACTGATTCATGGCCGATGTGAGAGTTGAACTGTGGCTTCTTTGCTCATAGCTTGCTCTCTTCCTGTGTGAGCCAAGAACAAATGAAGCCTCATTTCAGATACGTAGCCCACCGACTGATACCTGGAGTTCTTTCAGAAGACATTACAGTACAGAAATGGACAGGCTTGTTTATAGTTTACATCCAGTATTCCTTACAGTACAGTACAAGGCTAGATGGGAACCCAGGAGTCTTCTTCCACAGGACAACCCCAGCACAAAAAGTGACAGACTGCTGCCATTTAACACCTAAAGCTTACCTCTAGAAACTTTTCAACGCATTGCCAGGGACATAAAGCCATTTCTGGAAGGCCACCCCTTTCTGCTCAGAGGCCTTGGAGAGCAGTACTGGCCTTGTTTTACAGACAATCCCCAGCTTTAACAACTAATTTCCAGCCTCAACAGGCCTCCCCAACAAAGAAACTAACCAGAGACCACCAGTCCCCGCCACATCAATGTCCCTCATATCTACTCAAACAACAGGACTGCAGGACTCATATTGCCAGCAGCTCATTCACCCGCACATCTTCTACTGTGATAGATGCCATCATGTGCTAGCAATGCTCTTCAGCCATTTACTTTGGCAAACTGGAGTCTCTAAGCAAAATGGATCAGAGACAAGTCACATGTTTAAAATGGAAATGCTCAACAGCCAAAGGGGAGCATTTCAGTCTCCCTGGACCTTTAGTAATAGACTTAAAGCTTACAACATTTTAGCAGAAGAGGTTCAAAAGGAGATTCAGGAGAGAAACTGCTGATGCTGAGTTGGCATTCATAAACACATCTGACACTATCGGGCTTGGATTCAACAGGGATTGGCAGTGTTTAGGACACTGCAAAAAGCAATTACCCTTTTCAGGTTTACATACACTATTCAGATATATCCTACTTTGCTAATTCATGAACAATTGGGGCTGTAGTGGTTCATACCCATTCTGAATGGCCACCTACTCTTTTGACTAGATCTTATTTTCATTTGTGTTCTGCAATTTAAGATCATTGACTTGCATCCTGGGATAATCTCCTAGTGGATCTCCTGACAAAAATATGCAATCTATCACTAATATCTGCCTACATTCCCTAATGTTACCCGCATCTTTAAAAAAGGTTTCAGAGGAGATCTGGGAAATTACAGGCTAGTCAATCTAACATTGATACCAGGTAAGTTGGTGGAATCCGTTATTAAAGATAGAATTAGTAGGCACACTGATGAACAAAAATTGTTGAGGAAGAATCAGCATAGATTCTGGAAGGGAACATCTTGTCTCATTAACCTTTTAGAGTTCTTTGAGGAGGTGAACAAGCATGTGGACAAGGGTGAACCAGTAGATGATGTTTACCTAGATTTCTACAAAGCTTTAGATAAAGCTCCTCATCAAAGGCTCCTAAGTAAACTCAGCAGTTGTGCGATAAGAAGTCCTCCTGTGGGTTAAAACTGGTCAATTAACAGGAAACAGACTCAGAGAGTGAGTATAAATAGACAGTTTTCACAGTAGAAGGTGGTAAGCAGTGGGGTACCGCAGGGCTCAGTACTATGTCCAGTGCTTTTTAACTTGTTCATTGTTGGAAGTAAGCAGTGAAGTGGCTTAAGTTTACAGATGACACTAAGTTGTTCAGGGCAGTAAGAACCAGGGAGGACTGTGAGGTGCTCCAAAGATATGTCAAGGCTGGGAGAGTGGGCATCAATATGTCAAATGAGGTTCAACATGGGCAGGAGCAAAGTAATGCACATTGGAGCCAAAAATCTTAACTATAAATATACACTGATGAGGTCCGAAATGGCGGTAACTGACCAGAAGAGAGATCTTGGAGCCATGGCAGATGTCGACTCAGCATGCTACTGCAATAAAAAGGGCAAATGCTGTACTGGGGATTATTAGGAAGGGGACTGAAAACAAATCGACCAGTACCATAACGCCCCTGTATAAATCTATTGTGCGGCCTCATCTGGAATACTGTGTACAGTTCTGGTCACCACACCTCAAAAAAGACAGCACTGGAAAAGGCGCAGAAAAGAACAACTGAGGTGGCGGTCACACGGGCCAGAAAATGTGGGGGGGGGGGAGCGTGGCTGTTTGCCCCGGAGCAAAATAAAGCGTGGCCACCCGGATCACACGTCCCAGTCGAGGTCCCGTGGTCATGGGGGAGATGCCGATCACACAAGTATCCTACAGCAAAGAAGCCAAGCCGCGCAATCACACTAGTAATCACTCTTTGTGCGTATGCGCTGTTGGGCGCTTTTGCGCATCCTGCGGAGACTTGGGAGGAACCCCCCCCCCGTTTGCGACGAACATCGGCGGGCGCCGGGTGCCACGTAATTCCACCGGAAACGCGATCAGATGCCCGCCCTTGGCCTGCGGTTTCTGGAAACTAGTACCTTGTAAGTACTAGTTTTTTAAGCCGCATCTTCGGCGGGAAGCCACGGGTTCCCTGCTGCCGGCGGCCGGGCATGGCGGCAGCGGAGAGGCGGCGCGACGGTGAACTGGTGCTGTAGGCCTAAAATGACTAAGAGGATTAAATACTTTCCCTATGAAGAAAGGTTTAAAAGGTTAGGGCTCTTCAGCTTGGAGAAATGATGATTGAGGGGAGACAAGACAGAGGCTTATAAAAGTATGCATGGGTCAGAGAAGGTAAAAAAATACTTTTCTCCCTTTCTCACAATGCAAGAACTCGTGGGCACTCAGTGAAATTAGAACAGATAAAAGCACTCCTTCACCCAAAGAGTCATTAACATGTGGAATTCACTTCCACAGGAGGTGGTGGCAGTTACAAGCACAGACAGCTTCAAGAGGGGATTGGGTGAACATATGGAGCAGAGGTCCATCAGTGGCTATAGCCACAAGTTATAGATGGAACGCTATGTCTGGGGCATTGATGCTCTGTATTCTTGGTGCTTGGAAGGATACAATGGGAGGGCTTCTGGAGTTCTGGCCCTGCTAGCGGACCTCCTGATCGCACCTGGATTTTGGCCACTGTGTGACACAGAGTGTTGGACTAGATGGGCCATTGGCCTGATCCAACATGGCTTCTGTTATGTTCTGGCCTCTTCTTGCAGTAACTACCCCCTACTTCCCAGTAGGGGAATTACTCCCCTCCCCAGTAGGGGAGTACTCCCCTACTACTCCCTAGTAGGGGAACTACTCCCAGTAGGGTGTAACTACTTGTTGCTCTGCATCTCTCTCCCTTTCTCCCTGCCAAACTGGATGTTACATTTCATGCACTTTGAAGAAAATGGGATCTGACTCATTAAAGCATCCGCCACAATAACTTTGTCAGTCTTTAAATGTGCCATTAAACTCTGATATTTAGTTAAAATGCTGTTAAACCAAATGTAATCCAGTGATAAACATGCTTCCCACCTCATTTTAAGATAAGCTGACTAGCATTATATTACTACAAAGAGCAACATCCAAGCTTGCTTATTCAAAATCCATCCAGGTAGTCACCTATGACAGAACTCTTATCAGGATACTGTGAATTATTGAAAAGTTAATGGAATGATCCCCCTGCATTACAGTTAACATAGCTTAATATCTGCCCTGCCCAGCTGGCTCCACCATTTACTATTTTATTAAATGGGGCCAGCATACATGGTACTATTCAAATACAAGGCATGATTCTGTTACTTCACAAAAAGGATTTTATGTTACAGTTTTAGGTTTCCAGGACAGAAAGGAGAGAGTACAATCAGCAAAGGATTACCAAAGTGACACAACTCCCATTTTAAATCCAAAAACTCAAATGGTTAAGAATTTATGCATTAAGAACAATCTGTTACACAGCTGAAGGAAAGATTATACAACCTTGCTGCAAACTCACCTTCAGAATTTTCACAACCACTCGCTCATTGTTGGTGATGTTAATGGCCTCAAAGACTTCGCTGTATTTCCCCCGGCCGAGTTTCCGAACAAGTTGATAATCGTCTTGATTACTGCAGAGAGTGAAAAGAAAAACATGCTTCAGAGTTACAAACTTGAAACCCTCTCCTAACCCTTCCAGTAAGAGAAGGTCACACATTAGATTCTTTTCAGATGCAGAGAACAAGAGTTTTTTACATCAAGACAGTCAATAGACTGCTATTGCTGGATTGAAAATCTTCGTAGGTATTATCTCAATATTATACCAGCTGTGAGGGATAGGAAAAGAACCTAAATCTTCCAAGCTAAGAATTCTCAACATTTGCTATCCATCTGTAACCATGAGATCAAAATGAGAATCTGTCAGTTTGTCGACATTTGACTTGACTTAAGCTACAGAACTGATGGAGACTGTTCTGAACTACATGATGTAGGCAGTGCACTCTACAAACTCCCTTTCAAAGATCTTGAGTGAGGAAGACAATTCTCTAAGGAAGACTTTTCCTTCACCTTTTCCTACAAGCATCCCAACAAGGATGATGGCAACAGAAAAGGATAAAATATCACCCAACCAATCCATAGGATAACATTCCCGATTAGCACTACCTATTTCCAAGTCACAAATTGATCCAATTGCCACTGTTTTAAATACATGACGGGATTCAGAGTAACTAATTAATATCTGATCTTAAGCCATGATGACTCCAGAACTCCTGAATTCACCCCTGCCAACAGGCAGAATCACAAGAGCATGCCTTGGATCTCTTTTTCAACAAAGAAGCATGCCCATGAGTCAAAAGGCATTTTCCACATGATCCAATACTAACTATTGTGCATGGATGCAAAAAAAGAAAAAGTAAAACTTGAGACCCAAAATAATGCTCTATACATCTGATATCACATTAGAAAATGTGTCACATTGGAAATACAAAGTGATCTGCCTCACATCTGTTAGAAGATCTCACCCCCAAAATGCTGGATCCAGTCAGTCATCCGTCTAGTCCAGCAATCTGTTTAACATGGAAGTCAACTAGTTGCCTTGGGAGGACCAACACATAGTCCACAGACACCAAGGCCCTCCCAATGTTGCCTCCTGGCACTTGTGTCCAGAGACTGACTTCCTCTGTATGAGGAGATTTCCTGTAGTCATTTTGGGTAGTAACTATTGATGGACCTATCCTTTATTGATGGATCTTTATGGCCATCACTACATTGACTGACGGTAAACTCTAAATTTAATTACTTGTTGAATAAACAAAAATTTCCTTTTGTCCACCAAGAATCTGTCACCCATCAACTTCACTGGGTGCATCAGCAGCCCATTGTTCTGGAAGAAGAAGAAAAGGTTCTTCCTACATGCACTTTCTGCATCCCAGACCTACTTCTTCTCTTCCACTGCCTGAGACGCCCAGGTAAGATTTTTCTTAGACGCTGGAATAGTAACGTCCAGGTTAAATGCATCCACTTGGGACTTTAAGGGAGCCATCCTGAGCAGGCCTACTCTGGAGTAACTCCCATGTTATCCATTAGGCCTTACTCTTTAAAAAGCGCTATCAGACTCTTACACTCGAACTAGTGTTTTTAATCTGGTTTAGCCTCCCGATTCAGACCCCTCGGCCAACGGCTAGCCCCGGAGAACGAAGGCGTCAGAAACCCAGGCCTGCCCCCCCCCAACCCGAGACTACCTCTAGACGTGGAGAATATTCGAGCTGCCTCTGACCGAACAGAAAGAGGAACCAAAAGGTGCAACTGTATGAACGGAACGATTTCGGGGCGGGGGAGCAGAGAAAAAGAGGCTGCGAGCAAAGAAAGCGGGACGCGCCTCCGGGCGAGGCACAGCCGGCTAACTGTAGCACGCGCCATTCCCGCCGGGAGGGAGGGAGGGAGGGAGGGGGGTGGTGCCTGCCTGCCTGCCTGCCTCTTCTTACCCCCAGGTGGGGACGTGGGCCTCGTAGTCCCAGTACTCGCGGCTCCTCAGGCTGTTCACTTCAGCGTAGACACGGGCCCTGCTGCCGGCGGCCGGGCCGGGCATGGCGGCAGCGGAGAGGCGGCGCGGGGGGGGGGGCGCGGCGCGGACCCGAGCCGGCGGGGCCGGCCTGCTCGTTTCTTTACTCGCCTCCCTCGCTGGTTCACTCGCCGCCGCAGCGGACCCGGAAAAGGAGGCGGCGGCAGCAGCCTTGGCCTCAGCGGCGGCGGCGACACGCCTACCGACCCAGCCTCGCTGGGCAAGAGAGGCAGCCGCTCAGGCCGGTGAGGGCCTGGCACCACAGCGCCGCCTGCCGCGCCGGCGGATTCCTCCACGCTGCGCGCGCAGCCCAAACCCCCACCCACCCAGCACGCGCGGCTTGTGCCCCACCCACTCGCTCCCTTCGGCGTCGGAAGGCTCCTTTGGGCGACGCGCGCAACTAACTCACCCAGCCGGGCCGGGTTCCTCGTGGTTGCGCGCGCAACCAACCCACGGCACGCTTCCGTGCCCCGCCCACTTCCCGGAGCCATGGCAACTCTTTGATTGGCCGTTCCCGTCGGGTTCTTCTCCCCGCCGCTTGCAATACCTCGCAAACGTCTGAACGTGCCAGACCCGCGAGGAAAGCGGGCATCCTCCAGAGGCGCGGTTGAAAGATGGAACCCCGCCCTACGCTGACGGACGAGGAGTCGGAGCGCGACAGCATCCATACGGGGGAGTCGAGAGAGCTGGGCGAGGAGGTGCAGCAGGACTTGGCCCCGCTCGCTCTACCTGAGCTCCGCAATGTGGTGCAGGAGATGAGGTGGGCGGCGGAGGGGAGGTTAGAGGTCTCCGAGGCCCCAGAAAGGATCAGCTGCCCATTTCCAGTCCGCTGTAGTGCTTAGCGTATTGGACTAGGTAGGGTCTGTGGGGACCCAGGTGGGAATTCCCACTCGGGGCGACCTTTCGAAATTGTAATGGCCATTGGCTACACAATAAATTTTACTACTACCACTACACTCGGGGCGACCTTGGGCCAGTCACACAACTCTCAGCCTAGGCTGCCTCACGAAGTTGTTGTGAGGATAAAACGGAGAAGAGAACAATGTAAGAATCTTTGGGTCTGCAGTGGGGAGAAAAAGCAGAGTAAAAATTCCACACATTCCATAAAGGGACATTTTTCTCCAGACCTGTTGGCACTGACCATTGGACGAAGAGTTGGATTTATACCTCGCCCTTCACTTGGGAGTGTCAGAATGGCTTACAATTGCCTTCCCTTCCTTTCCCCACAACAGACACCCTATGAGGTAGGTGGGGCTGAAAGAGCTCTGAGAGAACTGTGACTGACCCAAGGTCACCCAGCTGGCAGCATGTGGAGGAGTGGGAAATCAAACCTGGTTCTCCCAGATTACAATCCACTGCTCTTAACCACTACATCAAACTGGCTCTCTAGTTTTGCACCACTGCTCGTGGCTGGCTAGGTACCTAGCACACTCCTGCCTCTCTGGCTCTTTCTAGTGCACTTTCACTTCTCTCTGCTGCAGATTTCACTCTTTCACCTCTCTTGATCTAGCTTACTGTCTACCACATGCTTATGTTCCATCTGGCTCTAGCACACTGTTACCTCCTATCTCTCCCTCTCTCACTTTATGTCTAGTGTATCTTGCTCACCCCTCATACATGGCTCTCCCTTTCGTCGTTGTATTCTCACAACAACCCTGGGAGGTAGCTGGGGCTGAGAAAGTGTAACTGGTCCAGGATCACCCACCAACCTTCATAGCAAGATGAGAATTTGAACCTGGGTGTTCCTGACCCCAGTCTTAGCCAGAACCTCACACTGGTTTCCCCAAGATATTTTTAGTTTACTTAGAGAGAGCGGCACAGTACCAGGATGTATTGGAAGGGGAGGAGGACATTGTGACAACTGGGGCAATTTCCATGTTGCGTAAAACTGCTAAGGAAAGTTACAGCTGAATAGTCGAGGAAAAGGCTCAGTTGAAATGTGGCACTGGCTGAGGCAAAAGCAACTCAGCACACTTGTGTACCATCTCGTTTATGCAGCGTAAATTGTGTCACTTCTTTGCACAAGGAACAGCTCAGTTGACATCAGGTGCTGTGTGAGTTCAGAATTTCATGGGCCAGTTCTTTTTGCCTCAGCTGGCATCACTTAAATCAGACCTGAATAATAGAATTCTTTGTTTTTCAAATAAAGCAATTCCATGAACCATTCAGTGGTGGGAGTTAAGTGGCAAAATTTCAGCTTTACACAGGTTGGAATTCATACTATGCTTTACAGTATTGTGAGCAACTTTGACCTTCAGTGCTATAAGGAGGTCCACTTTATTGTCTTCATAATTTCTCCAAGATTTTTTTTGAGCCCCTGGAGGGGATTTTTTATTATTTTTTATCACTACAAAAACTACAACAGAAGAAAAGGGAGGGGAAACTACATATACGGGATAAAGAACCCACTACTAGCTAAAAGCCCAAGAGAGGAGATCCTCCAACTAGCTTAGTTACATCAAGTCTTCCCATCATTGATCCCTTTATAAACTGAGTCAAACATTTACAACACTTTTCCTTTAAAGCTTAAATTTAACTGTCTAGAAACAGTACCCCTGACCATCCCATAACAAAAGTCTCAAAGGCACAATACAGAGTCCTTCAGCCTTTACTTCTCCTTTCCCCTTCTCTTCCGCAGCTTGTAAAGACTTTTGGGGGTTGCTGCCCCTTGCTCTGACAGAGAGTCCTCTCCGGAAGAACCAGAGTCTAGCTCGCCGCTGGACTTGCTGTCCTCTTCTTTTTTCCCGTCCTCTGGCCTTCCCAGTTGAACCCTTAGAAATTCTTGAGCTTTCTGAACAGAGTCAATCTTTTCTTTTTTATCTTTAATCTTGAAAGTAACGCCTTCTGGAAATAGCCATTTATATCCAATTGAGTTTGTTTGAAGAAAAAGCATGAGCTCTTTGTACTTCTTTCTCCGTTATCTTACTTCAAATGGAATATCCTTTAGCGTTCTGATGGTATTTTCCCCCACTTTCAGGGGTGTTCCAGCAACCGCTTTCAGGATAGCATCCCTCACATGCCTCTTTGAGAATCTTACCACAATTTCCCCAGGCAGATTATTTTTCTTTATGTGGCCTGAATATGATCTATAGACCACATCCATGTCGCTCAGCAACGATTCCGCCTTCATTTCACTTCCTTTACCTTCTCAGCATCTTGCTTCATTATCTGTATCAAGTCGTTTATCTGGGTTTGTTGCGCGGTAATGCTTTGAGTCACTATAGACATCTGTTCCTTGAAGTTATTCAGCTGTTACAGCAGAGGATGCATGTAATCCGCTATAGACTTTGCCACCTCACTGGTAACTTCCGGTTTCAGGCTCTCAGACCCTTTCGCTTTCAAAAGTTTTTCTCTGTCCTTCCCTGGCCATCTTTATCGTTTGTTTACTTTCACGAATTTTTTTAAAGTCTCTGAATGTGCACTTGACCGCTTAAATTCGCTTTGGTAAGTACTTCTAGGCAGTTTCCCTTGCGTTTTCTTCTGCTCCCCCCCTCAATCGCTCAAAAGTTTGTGCGCATGGGAGGCGTCCCTCCCCCGTTTGTTTTTTCTCCATTTTGTGGGGTGGGGTGGGGAGCTATCTTTTTCCTTTACAAAACGCTTCGCAATTGACTCACGTTCATAATTGGTCGTTCGACCTCGCTTTCATTTCATTTCTGCCGCACGATCTCCTGCGCTTGCCCCGGTTAGCGTCACTAGGTCCATTCGGTCTCACAGCACGGAGAACCGTCGGAATGAAGAGGCGCCTCAATTCTCCGGCATTCCGCTGTCGAAGAGGCGACCTCTTAGAAGTTCCATGGCCAGGGTCCCTTCACCGGGCCCCTGGGGGGTGTTGCGAGCCTGCGCACCCCCTCCTTCGGCTGGAGCGCAGCTTCACCCCCGGGAGGTCCGGGAGGTGAGTCTGCTAGCGCGCCGCCATAAATCAGAAGTCCTATAATTTCTCCAAGAATTGTTGCAGGCATATAATGAAGTCCAGGCATGTATTTACCTGATTAGGTCACTACAAGCCTAGATTATAATCCATCACTGCTATCACAGGCTGCAAAGTAAGTGAATCCCTGGCAGAGATCTCAGAACTGATTCAGAGCTGATTATTTGGGAAGACAAATTACGAAATAGTAATGATGAAGTCAGGCCTTGACAAATGTTCTTTTTGCTTTCAGAGCTGGCCCAAAGTTCATTGCTGAAAATATTAGGCACCACAATGAGATTTCTAGGCACCTTGGCACCTGGGATTTGTTGAGCCCTGGATTAAGTATTGGTACCAAGACTGGTTTCCTTATCTATACCAGCAGACTCTGGGGATCCACTGCCAATCAGAATAGACAGTATTGGGACCAGCTAGATGGACCCATTGGTCTGGCTTTCATAAGACCAAGTGTGTAGAAAACATTTATACGTTTTGCAGGTAAGGAACAGAGAGAGGCACTTGGTGTGAATTCTCCCCCCCCGCCACAAGCAGTCTATTTCTCTCTTATACAAGCAGACACACAGCACCCACCTCCCTCTCTTAACACATACATACCTGCCATACATCCCACTCACCACATCTGCTCTCAAATACAGTAGCACCACACTGACTCAATACACACACAGCAGCATTTCTCTTGCACACAGACAGCCTCCTCCTTTCACACAGAAAGGCATAACAGCACCACTTCTTCCTTCTCCCTCACAGTCATAAGCATGCACTGGCTTCCAGTGATGGCCATTTTGCTCTTAGGCTGCAGGCTCTGCTCTGCTTCCATCTGTGGCATAAAATGGAGATACTGAACTCTCATCTTAATAAGAATGCACAGCAGATTTCCACCAAACCGGCGAAAGGGATATCTTATGTGACAAACTTAAATTTTTAACACTGAACATAAATTTTTAACAAAAAATTTAACTAACATAACAGATCCAGTGTGGTATAGTGGTTAAGAGTCATGGACTCTAATCTGGAGCACCAGGTTTGATTCCCCACTCCTCCTTTCCATAGCCTGCTGGGTGACCTCAGGCCAGTCACAGTTCTCTCAGAACTCTCTCAGCCTCACCTGCCTCACAAGGTGCCCGTAGTGGGGAGAGGAAGGGAAGGTAATTTGTAAGGTGCTCTGAGACTCCTTAAAGTAGAGGAAAGTGGGATATAAAAACCAACTCTTCTTCTTCAATATTATCTAAATCACTGCAAGGAGAAAAAAAGGAAGCCAAAAAAAAGAGAGAGAG